CATCTGCAGATGAGCTGCAACATCTGCAGATGAGCTGCAACATCGGCAGATGAGCTGCAACATCTGCAGGAGAATGCAACATCTGCAAATGAGCTGCAACATCTGTAGATGAGGCTCTGGCTGTCAGACTGAGTTCAGAGTAAAATAAAAGCTGCTTCACCTCTGATCTTTGTCCGGTTCTTCTTCTCTTTAAAGGTTATTTCTCCATAACTGATGTGTTCTGAACTCAGCGTCGAGTAGATGATGGAGGGGTCTCCTTCTACAGAACAAAGTACAGGTCACTCACAGCTGGAAAACAGCTGGATAAAGTCATGAGTCCTTAGATTCTCAGAGATAAAAATCTAACTTTCAGAGGTTGAAGTTTCTTATCAGTATTTTTAGTCTTCCTGCCTAAAAGATGTCGAAATCTACGGACATCACATCCTCTTTTCGGACTATTTCCTCTTTAGACACACTCACGTGGGCGGGGTTTGTTTCCTCCTGGCTGACGGCTGGATATTTGAACGTCGCTGTAAATGATCCCGTCTCCTCCAGGTTGTTCTTCTTTGGCTGGAATAAAGAAAATCAACAGGAATTTAGGACTTCAATGAGGGATTTCCCTTTGATCCCAGTTTGGTATGAAATTCTAAGAATGAACTATGAAAGACTCTACAGACTGAAGATACAAAAGCACGATAACTTAAACCTGAGAAATTAAGAAACACTGAAGCCAGCAGAGTCTCACCTTCAGGTTTCCTTTGGACACGTCGTCTCCAGAACAGAACCAGAACCAGAACCAGGACCAGCAGAAATACAGCAGAACTCACACAAACAGCCACCAACCAGCCAGGAGGAGTCCGAGCTCCAGGAGGAGGGGTTAATGTGGGAGGGGTGGTGGTTGGGGGTTTCTCTAAATATGAACCAAATATAATTAAATTATTTTCTTGTTTCAGATGCTGAAAAACAGCCAGAGGTCAGCTGCTCACCTGTGACCCGGACCCGGCTGGGGGGGGACCTGTCCCCCCCGATGGAGCAGCTATAGTTTCCTTCATCAGACCTGCTAACAGGTCGGAGGGTCATGTGACCTGTAGGCTCCGTCCTGATGAGGGAGCCATCTTTATAGAATAAAGCAGCTGTGGGGCTGGAGGGGGGGTCCCATGCTGTACAGTTCAGAGTGAAGGCCCCCCCCTCCATCACAGGGAGGACAGGACTCTGCAGGATCACTGGTCCACCTCAACACAGAGACAGACTACAGCACTTCATCCATTTCCACACAGCTTCATCAGCACTAACTCCACAGTCTGATCTTACCAGAGACAGTGAGGGGGGTGCTGGGACCGGCCGCCCCCCCGCCCGACTCACACCAGTAAGCACCACTGTCTGTTGGGTGCAGATAGTCCATCTTACAGGCAGAACCAGCCAGTTCCCCCCAGTCTGCTCCACACTGGGTCCTGGTTCCTCCGCTGGTGTTCCTCCTCACAGTCCATCCAGCAGAGCTGCCGTCCTCCTCACAGCTCAGAGACACAGAGGCTCCTTCAAAGAACTGAGAGCTGCTGGGACTCACAGTCAGAGCCGCTGAGAGGGAGGAAACAGGAGTCAGTTTCAGCCAGCTGTTCCTTCCTCCAGCCCTGGTGCTGCTGGATAACATCTGTCCAGCTAAAGCTCCTCATGCTGGGAAAAGGGGACCAACCTTGGTGTGTGGAGCCGCTCAGCAGTGAGGTCACAACTGGAGAGGAAACACACTCAGGTCGGTTTGAGCTGGACTGGAGAACTCAACAGCATAAAGCAACAAGCTGAGGAAAGCAGAGCTCAGAAGAACAGAGCCGGAACCCAAAGATCTGCTCTGAGAGCCCTGATGGAAAGTCCCAGAGCAGAGCCTTCCTTCACTCTGTAACAGTCAGGAAGCAGACACATGGGAGCATCTGAGTCCGGACAGACAGGACTAGCTGTCTGCAGACGGCTTCTGGTTTAGTCTGGACCAAAGCAAAGGGCTCTCACTGTGTCTTCTGAGCAGGCTGCTCACATCTGGAGCCTTTCAGCCTGTTTCTCTGGCTGTTTGTGGCCTTTCTCTGTGCCGACTTCCTGGTTAAAGCCCCTAAAGCTCCTCCTGAAGCAGCTCATCATGCTGCATTTTACACCTGACTTCAGCCTGACCTGTTTCAGTGTGCCCCCCCATCAGAAGTCGTCCACAGAGCAGAAACAGAGAAAACTGAGAAAACAGAGAAAACAGAGAAAACAGAGAAAAGCGTCTCTACTTACGGAGCAGGTACTGAGCACATGCCTCCATCTTTGCGTCTGTCTGTCTCTTGGCCAGTGTGAGGTTTTTGCCCCAGTTGCAGCCCGCCCCCTTCCTGTTACTCAGCCTGTGTGGTTTTTTTTCTGTATTGAAGCAAGTAACACGTTAAAAACAGTTTAATCCTTCTCTGTTCAGCTGCTATTTTGATGGTTTTATCTTTATTTAACTATCTATTTGCATATGTATCTACATATATATTTATTTCATTTAAAAAATTTTAATTAAAAAATGATAAATATGTTGTATTTTTTTTATAAAAACCAGGCAAAACAGTTGTGGTTAGCTCTGTCGCTTCAGAGGGTTCCAGGTTCAGATCCCTGGTTGTGTGTCTCTGTGTGTGACTGGGAGCTAATCAGGTTCAGCCTCCAGCCCCCCCGACCCAAATAAAAAATTAATGGATGTAGGAAAACCCTCTGGGCTGCTCTCAGCTGCAGTGACACGTTATTGCCATTGGGGGTAACAAAGAGCAAAAATTGCTTTTAAACACTATAAGTGCAGTAATACATTTTGGCAGCAGAGGGAGATGGAGAAAAAATTATGTTTCTATTTAGAATGTGTGGGTTGTGTATGGTGTTGGCTTGTATCTATAAGGGCTCCTGAAAGACAGAAACAAAGCATGGCCATTGGAGGAGACAGTTTGGGAGGGACCTTGCTGCACTCTGGGGCCTGCTGAACGAAGAATGTGGGGATGAGCAGGACCAGAGTCACATTGACTGAAAGCTGACAAACAGACCTACGCAACGATGTGTAACAAGTCTGTGTTGAGCAAAAGGCGGCGACGTGGCAGGTCAGAGAAGGTCACAGAACAGTACAAGATGGAGGCAGGAAAGCCTCTATGGGGCAAAGGATTCTGGGTAAGAAAGCCCTCGAAGTCAGCCATGTTGTTTGGTTTAGACAGAGGGACACCAGTGTCCATCAGAAAAAAGAGATGTTTTAAATTGCACATGGCCTTTTGGTATTATGCCCCCCCGTACCTTTCTTAGACCCAGGAAGCTCCCCGGATGTCTGCTGGTCCAATCGGCTGGGGGAGAGAGGGATTTGAGTGGTGCTGGGGGCTCTATATGTCGGCCATGATGGAAGTCCACTCATCTCTGTCCTTTGTTTTGGATGGTAGACAGCTCTGTTTCTGTGTGACTTTGAACATCATTCTGGCCCCGAGACTCATGACAGCATAGACATATAAACACAGCCCTCATTGAGGGCTGAATCGTACATCAACGTCGCCGCCATCTTGGATGTGGCAAAGTGGAGAATCGGAGTCATTGATCAGACAGTGAACCAGTGTAAATCTCAGGGTTTTATGTCCACCAACTTCTCTAAAGGCTGTCCTGTGATGTGTGCCGAGGTAGTTTGATGTCTGATGCTCATCAGAGCTGCTCACCCTAAAAACAAAGTAGGTGATTCCACAAACTGAGGCCAAAACGGCCAAACTGAAAACCCTTAAGTTGCCGAGTGCCAACATACGGAGCCTCACTGGTCATCATCACAAGAAAAAACATAAATTGAAAATGTATATTTGTCCGCTGATCTTTATGGATGACTAATCGCTGAAATTGCACATTTCCTGTAGAAATACAGGCTGAAATGTGAGGTGCGCCAGCAACGAGCCGAGTTGAACCGCTGAAAGCCCATCCATCCCAAACTGGGCTGTTGGTGTCAGTTGCCGTATCGCTGCATGTCGTCAATATAATGTTTGCACAGTGGTGGGCCATCAGGGCCTGCAAGGTCTTCTCTGCAGGCCTAAGAAAATATCTGAATCACACACTGATGTTAATTATATTTTGTCCATGGAAACTTATTGAATATCTCTAAATAGTCTGCCCGCTTCCTTTCATAGCTTTTCTCCTGGTTTCTGCTTCCAGACATGCATTTAAATATAAAAGCATTTAACCAATCACATTTCAGACATCGTTTGTCGCTAGGCAGGGTCAGAGTCAAAGATGTCTGCCTGGAGGCCTTCAAAATCCGTTCTGCAGCCCCCCCCC